GAGGCATGGAACATATGTACCAAATATGCCAAAGATGTCTACAAAATTATCTCAGTTATTATTAAAAAACTGATTATTTTTGAAAACTTTGCCACCCTGTATCTCAAAAGTTAAGGCGTTTAGGACATATGTCCATAGGACGTTTTTTCCTTGAAATGGGTCTAAGAATTACCTTCTTAAATATTAGCATGTGTTTAAGGAACACCCTATATATTACAAAACTAAGATGATTTGCATAGAGTTAAATCTCATTCAAATTAGAAAAAATGTACTGGTTATCAAGAAGAGGGATTATTTTTTTGATTTCGTGTCTTGAGAAGCAGCCTTTTGAATAACAGCCAATTTTTGAAGAACAGAAATTTGTAATGGAATAGATCGATATTTGATGAATACCTAACTCATTTGAATAACACTGCATTGTGATATTTTCACTGGACAGTTTACAAATCCGCAACACATGTTTCGATATACAATAGCTTCCTCAAGCTTTTTCATGCTCTTGGAGAAACCTATCGAAGGAAAAAGTAACTTATATCTCAATAAGTCAAATGTAACTCATCAAAATTAATCTACTTGAGTTATCTGGCGTTTCTATCGACTGCGGAAACGTATGAGAAATCTATTGTTTAGCGAAACACGTGTTGTGGTGGTTTTGTAAACTGTCCAGTGGAAATATCAAGTGTTACTTGAATAAGAACAGAAATGAAAAAAATTTAAAAAATGAAGCTCTCACATTTTCTAAAAGCCGTGAAATATTTACAAACATACTGTTTGCGTAAATATCACAAAAGTATTCGAAAACGGCGAGGAATCAGATCATGACGTATGTATTTAACGATTATTTTAAAATTCATTCCTCATAACGTTCAAAATGATTTCCACTGATTAAACAAAAGTTTAGGAAAGTTTTGTTTCAATCAAAGTGCTGTTGAATTCAGTATGATCTTGACCTACACATGCATTCAATGTTAATTTCATTATTTTAGTTTCAAATATCGATTATCAGTGGACTATATGATAATGAATGAGTTAATTGAAGAGGAATGTTATTCACTCTTGGCGTCAATGTCTATCAAGCCGTATGAATGTAAACAAGTTATTTTCATATTTCTCCGAGCATTCATCTGAATTCAACGTGCCGAACGCATGGCTTGAATTTCTCCAGTTCTACTAGACACACTTCTGTCTATTACATACTTCGGAACTAATTAAACTTTATCGCTGTAATTGACGGATTTGAGTGACTGAGACAGATCGACTAGGCCTTGGAAACTATTTTAAATGTTAAACGGTTTAATTAAAAAAAAAGATAATGATTATTCAGATAATGTACAAAAACTAAAAAACTAAAAAATAATTCTTACAAAATATTGAGGAAAATCCATAGGAAGGTCCTAGGTAGCAGTCATCACACCATTCTCCTCAGCAGTTTACGGTATTGATCAGGTAAAAAAATGATAAAATCGTTGGACGTAGTGTATCCTGAGTAGATACCTATGTCAATACTACGCCAGACGGCTCGATCATTGTTTTATCTGTTCGATACCGTAGATTGCTGAGGAGAGTGGTGTGATACCTTCTATTCAGTACATTATCTACGAAATTATTATCTTTTTTTTATTAAAACCGTTTAACATTGAACATGTTATTTATTTCATTTTCTCAAGTTTTCAGTTTCTAACTTTGCTACTCAATTCTTCTCATTCTGTTTAGTTCATTTAGTGCCTCAGTATTACAGTAATCCGCCATTTTGTATCTGCCGCCACTTTCGATGCACAATAATACATGATAAATTATATTGTCATCAAAACTCAATTTGTGTACCAAATATCAGATCAATATGTCAACAGAAAGGGGATCAAACTTCAATTAGTAAATTTGCCCCAAACAAACTAACAAACAGGGCAAGCGGTATAAAACCATTCGAAAATGAAACACAGTATTCATGATATAGCCTGTTACTGTGAAAAAAATATAGGTGAGACTTGAATTCCTTTAGATGTGAGAATAAACGAACATCGTGAATATATAAAAATTATAAAAATTTAGATAACAGAATCGAGGAGAGCAAAACATATTTTGAAATCAACTGGTAATCACGCAATAAAATGAAATAAAACAAAAAGTGTCTTCTAGGAAACTCATGATATATTATTTAAGCAGATGAAACGTATATTCCAACTGAACCTGTGAGGCCAGAAGTTGGAAATTCATATACAAACATAAACTAAATTCTTTTTCTATCAACGTAGACTATCGTTGACAGCATTCTTTCGACGTCCGTCAAAGAAAATATTCCTGTTTTCGTTTGAGGCGTTTTCAGGAATGGATTCTTTAGGTTTAGAAAATGGACAGGAATCACTTTTCGAAACGTAGACAATCTTAGAATAGTCAGGTATGAACATTTTCTTTTTCATCCATCGATTATTTGATTATGAATACTACTTACTAATTGGACTCTTCAATGGTTTACTGGGAGATATATTCAGTTTGCCCATTATTACAGCTCAATATCTTTATATAGATTCATTTTTTGTGATATGAGGTAATTACTTTCGAAACGGAAAAGTTAACATATCTAAAAATCAAGCAATGACACGAATATATGAAATATGATAGGTAGGTATTGATGAATCATTTTATTTTTTTCTTCATTAGAATTGATGATGTATAGGATATGAATTTTCCATGGAATGAAAAATATTCTTTTAGAAATTTAAACAATATTTTAAAATTATAGTCATTGTGACGAATTCTCTAATTGAATTCATTTGGATCGTGAAGAAAAACAGGAAAACATGTAAATATGCCGTATAACTAAAAAAGAAATATGTCATTAGAAATTTAATGGAAAACTGAGTCAGAATGATGATTCATGAAATATAACCTTATGAGCTTATGATGAATTTAAAAAGAAAAAGAAAAGTTCCACACTCAGTGGAACTTTAGATCAGTTCAATTACATTTTTCGACCAACTGATACAGACTTGGATATTTTATCTATTTTGATCATTCATTTTCAGAATATGTCAAAAGAATGTGTTTGTCACACATAAAATCAATATTAAGGCAAGAGAAAGCTGGCCGCGCGTTACGTGCCGCGTTTGCTCACGTTAGACCAAACATGTGTTCGAATGAACATTTCCAACGCTCTGTTGGCGCAATTTGAATCCGAGTTTTGACGCCGATTAATTACTGTAGATGAGACTCGAATATTCCAGCATATGCTCGAAATAAAAATATAGTCGAAACAGTGGACTGCAAGAGGAGAACCGGCTTCAAAAAACAAACACTGTTTTTTTTTTGGCAGGGAAAGTGATGGCGGCTACTTTTTGAGATGGAGTTGTTTCAATCGATTATCTTCAAAACGGAAAAACCATTACAGGAGCATACTATGCATCATTACTTGACAAGCTAAGGGGAAAACTTGAGAAAAAACGGTCACATTTGCAGAAGAAGAAAATCCTGTTTCCCCAAAACAATGCACCGTCTCACATCTCAGCGGAGACATGGCGAAAATCCATGAATTACTGTTTTAACTGGTTGACAATCCACCTCTACTTCTCCATCTTGATAATGTACACTATATTGTGTAGAAATCCTGTGATTTTGTTTGTGGTTGATTCGGCCGTTACTTGATGAAAATCCATAGTGATTTCATAAACTACACTTTACGATTTCCACGAACTCAATTTTTTTTAAATATCACATGTTTTGCTAACACAGTAGCTTTGTCGTAGTGAATAACCTACTAGTACGTACTTACGTTTAGAAATAGAGTTTGTGGATATCAAAGGTGTAGTTTATCAGTAAATCCTGTGAATGATATCTGATTCAATTCCATAACGGATGTTTGGAATACAAACTGAATAGAAAAAAGTGTTTTTTTATAATTCAATGTTCATATAAAAAAATTTGTTTCGAAACTACTTTCTTTTATGTAATTCAATGTTTATGTGAAAGAAGCTGTTTCAAGAGGGGTTTTCCTTCCAGTTTGTATCTGAAATTTAGGAGAACACCAGGTAATGGAAATCAGCGGGCAATGATACCAACATATCTCCAAAACTATAACCGCTAGAAACGCGTTTACTGCCGTCCCCGCCCCGTTATGCTCTCCTGCTAGGGCTGCGCCGCCCCAGTTTGCGACAGTCTAGGAAATGACAGGTGTGTTTTGTTTTTACGGCTCGCCGATGTAAATTTTTATGGTCGCAAAATAAACGGTAAGTATTCTAATTATTGATGTATCAGCATGTGACTTTTTTACGCTTTTACTCGTACATTCATACTCATATTCCGAGTATTACTTATATATTTTTTGTGTTTATTTTTTTTTCTTCATAAAATACTCGTGGGTAATGAGGATCGGGTGACCCCCATATTGCCCGTTAGTGATCACGATTTCTCGCAATGTAAAGGCATACTATAATTTTGTTATTCTGCTTTCAGATGCCAAAAGTACGAGTTAGAACTACCACAAAAGCTTACTGGTCAACTGACACTTTGAATAAAGCGTCGAAACTTATTGAAGAAGATGTGTTTTCTATACAAAAAGTCGCTAAGGTTTCGACGTTTCGTTTATTGGACCACTTGAAGGGGCATATGAAAAAAGTGTGCCACTTATACATGAGAAGTCACCTCACAGAAAAGATCACACCTTACGAAGTAGCATCCTTATTGGGCAAGGTATTTAATAACGTTGCGTCCATTAGTAAAGAAGAGTCGGGATTTAGACCTACAGGTATTTATCCAATGAATCACGATGTATAGTGTGATGAAGATTTCCTACCAGCTGAATTGCTTCGATCAGAAACTGCTGCCACTCAAAACTTTGATGAGTCAGTTGCAATTATTAGCCCAGCGCCAGTACCTGACACATCAATTCAAGTTAATTCACTGCTACCACCGACGCCGGCAAGAACTTCTAGCGCCGTTGATTATATAGCCCTTGGCCCATAAGTGTAAAGTGTTTCACTAGCACCTGGTACAGTATATTCGCCAGTCCCTGGCACATCAAAACAAATTACTCCAGCAGTCTCTAGTTTTGATTGAGTTTGNTATTATTATATATTTTATCTATTTTGATCATTCATTTTTAATTATTCACTTTTTCTGTTTCATTCGAAACTTGAAAGACAAAAACATCAGATGTATCAAAAATCGAACAAATTTCAACTCGGGATGAAAACGCAAAAATCAAAAATTAACTATTCTCACTCTCACTAATTTCATGTTACCTAAATTTCGCATATTTTCATCAAATACAATAAATTTAAAGAATGAATTTGAAAAATACTTCAAATCGGACTATCAAAATATCATACAGTTGAGAAATGGTTTTTCAGACTCAAATATCAAATGTATCGATATAGAAACTATGAAACTAATAAAATCATTTTAATTTTCAAGGGGTTCTCTTCGAAATCCCTCAAAAAATGTTCATTCACGTATTTCATTAGAATAAATTCTTGACGAATCGTTGGAAAATGTTATTATTTTTATTACTAGCTTTGTATTATTA